AAAGAAACAAAAGAGCAGTCCTGGCCAAATGTTTTGGACTTTTGGGTTTTATACATTTTGAACTGAGCTGAATTTAAGATGGTTTTTACCCAGGGATTTGTGGTTTTCTAACAGTCATATACATTTTTGCTCAAGAAGTTTACTTGGGGTGCTAGAGCTGTATAAAGAAACTGAAGGAAGTAATGCAATTTAGGTAGTATTGTAGAAGCATAAACAAAAAATGAGACCAACTGCCTGCTAGGAAGTTTCATTAAAATCGGGGAGGGTGAAAAAAAATAGCAAAATGTGATGCCAGAGGTTCAGTTTCTGCATATGGAAAACTAAAATATCAAGGGGTCTAAGTTTTCAATAAATATACTGTGCAGTAAATATTTTACCTATTTATGTGAAGATCATTTAAATCATATTGTTTTACAACAAGGCTCTAATGCAAAGAGGAAGACAACAGAGTTGTAACATAGCAAATAGTATAGGGGTTTATGACTAATAATTGTTTAGTTGTGATCCTTTGTAAAATTGTCAAGAAGTCAAATACTCTGATCTTAAACATAATGGGAAAGACAAACCAAGATTTTTTAATTAGAATTGTGGAACAAATGCTGTGGCTTGGTTTACATATCATGCCAAACCATAATGTGGGTGGGTTTACACATCACACTTATGCCAGAAAAGAGCAAACCACATTGCAGCTTATTGTTCTGTGTGAACCAGCCCCCTGCTTTGTAAGCTTCAGCATGGAGTTTGCTAAACAGCTCTAGATTATTATTTTTCACCTATATAATTTATTTTACTGAGAATGTATAAAATAGGGGCCATAGAAGCTAGATGTCATTGGGTTTTAAAAGCAAAGCATTATTGTACAATTTTCAGTTCCAGGAAATAAAAATCCAGAAACTTCATTGTCCATAGTCTTCAAGTCTTCCTTCACACTAAAAGAAATGTGACATTCTCAGAATATTTGCCTCCACATCATATAATAGATTCAGTTTATACTGTGGTGTTGGAATGTTTGTAAATCCTTCTGAATGTTCAATATTTCTGCATAAATATGATCTAAAGCAGGATCCTATAAGTCCTAAAATTAGATAAAGAAACTCCAATTATACAAATGAGTAAAAACATTATATTTGATCATTTATCTATTGAAGAAGATTATCCAAAGCTGCACTGCTTTAAGATAATTTAAAAATATTGAACATTCAGAAGAGTTCACTAAATTTTCAGCTCCACTGTAAGTGGAATTTTCATGCATCACAGCTTTTTAGAACTTTAACCAAATAGTTAGAAATATAAGGAAGTGAACGGCTGGTTTCCTTCATTGAAACCAATTAGCTAATTTCTTCTTAACTGAAAGTTTATTTCACATCTTGGGTAGGGTCAAATATTAAATCCAAGAAGCTTTGGCTTGTTTAAAAGTATTATTACTATTCTCTATATAAGGACAGTGGGGGTGTGGCTCTTACACACAAAAAGTGTGACTTGTGAAGCTATCCACTGTCCTTTGCAGCTAGCTGATCAACAAGACCCATGGCCAGGAATGAACACATCACTATTCAAGCTCTTTGAAGCAGAAAAGGCCTTTTGAACCTAAGCTCTGATTTCCAGTGTAAAAATACAAGCCAAATCTAAGCTACACCTCCCTGGCTGAAAAAATATTCAAATATAACTCCAATAATATTAATGAATCCCTGCAAGATGGGAAGATTGTAGAATCACATTCAAATAACTATTAATATATGTAGTAGCTAATGGCAGAATTCCCTTGGAATAGCAGGTTATTTACTTATTTGCTGCTGACTATATAATGAACTCTGCATTTTCAACCAAATGTGGCAAGGCCACATTATCTAAGATAATGAGGGAGGGAGAGATTCTCACAGATTATTGCATTAAAAAAGAAAAAGAAACATTACCTCTCCCTTCTCACTCTCTTTCTTTGCATCTCACTTACTGCCTCATTTTTATTAGGAAAGTGACCCGTTTTCTTTTGTTGAGGGCAACTTTTATTCCTTGGTCTGGGACTCAGCCTCAAATTAAGTGTCAGCCTTATTACCAAACATATCTGCTCAGTGCGTCGCTGCTCTGCCAACAGTTTACCAAAGAGCATTTTCTCCCCTTCAGGAAGGCTGAGCAGCATGAAAAATATCCAGCCTGTTGTGTCCAAGTGGTTTTCCTCCATCCGCAGGCCTGAATTCCTTTGGTCTCTCTGAACCGCCTTGCTCTTGAGGACTCAAAGCTGCCAAGCCATGATGTCAAGCAGCCTTTTCTTTCCCTTCCCCCCTCAGTGCCCACATTCAGCCGTGTGGCTGTTTCGCTCTCCCCACCCCCAGCCTTCTGCAGCTGAAAATCCCAGTTGATTCAAAAGGTTCAGGCAGCTCTGAGTGGCCCACATTAGCTGGGCATGTTTCCTTTCTACCAGATGAATGAAAGGGGCTCACAATACATCTGCCTCCCACAGACACACACTCTACACCGAAATGCAAGGCCCTGCCCAAACCATAAGAGCCTAGGCAGCACAAATAGGATCACAATAGAAGACTGTATTTATGCCAGATTTTCCAAATTCAGCTTGTCAATTCACTTTTAGGCTTCATCATTTCAACCATCATATTTTAGGCTGGAAAGCAGCATCTACTCAAAGCTCTGGGGCATGAAGGTCTGAATGGACAATGGAGGACTTGCTTGCTGTTTCCTGGTTCACAGTCACCACATGCAAATCACTTTACCTCACCAACACTCTTTCTGCCAGGCCTCTGCTCCTTCTCCCCTTTCACCCTTGTATTAATTTGCAGTTAGGATAGAAAACAATATGCTTTTAAATAGAGGTAGCAATGCATTCAGGCTTGAAGAATTTTCCCCAAGACAGTCCACAATGGAGAGCCAGTGAAAGCAGATATTAGACTAAGACCATGCAAGGTTTGCCACTTTAAAAGCCTGCCTGACAGGATTTCTGATTTCATAGAGCTGTAGATTTTAAGGTTGGGAAAGGACATCGAGGACCATCTAGTCCAGGGTTGAAGGTATGAAGAATCATTTAATGTAACACTGTTTGAATAAATCCAGCTTTCTCAATGTTTCATTGCATTGTGTTCAGTGTTCGTTTGTGTTCATTTTGAAGAGGGAGTTGTTAAGGGTGGCATGTATATATTAAGATTATACTAAAGAGAGGTGTGATGAAAAAAGTTTAGAAACCCTGATCTATCCCACCCTTCTGCCTAGTAGAGGATTTAAAGGCAAGTTCAGGCATAGTTCACTGTTTCATAGTCAGCAGTTTTTTGTCATGGTGTGGTTGTTATGACTGCAATGCAATATACTTACATCCACTTGGTCATTTTCTTGCCTATAATACATGCTACTTCTGATAATCTATTCTTTTAAGAAATTCATATTGGATGCTTAGAATCTAGTTATTAAACATGATGATAATAAGACATTTGGTGAATGGACAGTGATATGTATGTATGTATGTATGTATGTATGTATGTATGTATGTATGTATGTATGGTATTCAGCTTTGTTTGGGTATTTTCCCACGTCATTATAGTTGTGCTTTTAAAGTTGTAGCAATGTTTCGGCAGAATCTCATCTGCCATCTCATCTGACGAACACTATACAGAAGCCTGATTATGGCAGATGAGATTCTGCCGAAATGTTGCTACAACTTTAAAAGCACAACTATAATGACGTGGGAAAATACCCAAACAAAGCTGAATACTATCTATCTATCTATCTATCTATCTATCTATCTATCTATCTATCTA